TAGCACAGACACGAAGGGACCCTTAGGGGCGAAGAAAGTCATTGATCGAGTTCCTAGTCCACATATCAAGCACCCTGAGCATCTTACATTAGATGGATATGTGTGCTATATAAAACTACACTATTATATTATTATTACATTTGAACAGATTTGAGTGATAAAAATTGAGGCTTTGGAGAAATAAATTTTGAGTAAAATAAATGAATTCAGTTTTGTGAAGTTTCAAAAAATTGTGGGAAAACCAAGTTTAGATTTCGGAGATACATTTCTGAAGTTTGCTATTAATGCAGATTGATACTGTCAGTTTACAGGTTGAATATTAAGTTGAATATCGTCAGCATACATACGGAATTTGATTTGATTAGAATGTATATAATATTGGCAACATGGGAAGTAACGACCGAGGACAGAACCTTGTTAGGATGCCTCAATCTAAAGACGTTGGGAGAGAAAAAGAGTAGTGAACATAACATGGTGTATCGTGAAGAGAGTATGACCATACCATAATTGTTATCTCATTAAAGTTACAGTATTGCTATTTTTAATGTTATGATTATTATGTTGTACATGTGCACCAGTATATATTTGTGTGGATTGTTATGTTCTTTTGTGGATGTGTGTGCATGTGCGTATGTGTCTGCGTGTAGGTAGGTTTGTGCCCATTATGTTTGTCACAGCCTACAAAGTCACAGTAGCACTTAAACATATTAATATTTCATGCACATATCAACACGCACTGGGATCAGTAGAATGTGGGCCACACAGCTATACTGAACACAAGTAGAATGGATGAACTGCATGCGACCCTGTCACATTTTACAGCGTCAATATTTCTTTATGTCACAGCACACAGGAAGCAGGAATATTGTTTGGACACTAAAATCCATTCGCCATAATCTAACATAACAAGCCGTTTCTTTTAATTCCTGTTCATCTTGTCCTCGATAATTGCTACACGAGAAAAGTCAACAACTGCCATAAATGAGAAATAAGTTCTTTGTACTCAAAACATTGGGCACATCACTTCGGTAAAATGGGATCATAAATCACAGGAATAGAATGAATCACGTACGAAAGTTCCCGGTAAAAGCAATAATGTTTTTGAATCGGCTTGAATGAGGCTTTTCGATATGGGTCTCCATGCTAGTCTGCTTTCTGATCTCGTTTACTGGTTGATGAATGGTTCATTTGGCCTACATGAACACAGTTTAGTTGCGCTAGTCCCTGAGACAACTAGGCTAGTCTTGTCAAACTCCTCAAGCCTTCATGTTCAGCTGAAGTTAAAATGGTCTGACATCTCATATCCATATTACACTTCAGTTGGGTTGCTATTTAAACTATTTCCGTCCAGTTTTTTGTTTCTTTTTTGCCCCGTTTGTTTTGTGGGATCAGAAAGATTAATGGTAAAGCTCAATGGGGATACTCATCTACCAATCACATATTGTACTTTTTGGTTTAAAATCCTACTTTCTCAAGACAAGGAAAAAAATAGGCTCCCAGCGGGAGCGTGTGTCTACTGCCTTATACAGGAGTTTTTTTTCTTAAATTTTATCTTATGTTCTTCAATATACAGATGTGTGTATTATTGTAGTGTATCGGGATTTTTCATGAAAATTTTCTTTCATAAACAATATTCTGTATAGGCCTACTACTATATTACACTAAAAACACTTTAAAAATGAGTAACTCTTTGAGTTACCACATTATGTCGTTGATCACGAAGAGTACTACCATGTTCTAGAGTGCATCCTTCAAATAATGGTAAAAGGCTTTCGTGGTGAACGCATGCTGCGTCTCTAGCGTCTCTATAACAATAATAATAATAGTGTAGTTTTATATACTGTAGCGCACATATCCATCTAATATAAGATACTCAGGGCGCTCGATGTGTGGACTAGGAACTCGACCAATAACTTTCTTCGCCCCTAAGGGTCCCTTCGTGTCTGTGCTACCCGGTAACCCGGTACCAGCAACTCTCGTCGTCCACTACAGGGGCTGTCTGTCTAGTACACCGGGAGTACACCGGGGTATCCCCCTACTAGTCTTGAAGGATGTACTGGGTTCTTTATAGTGCACACAAGCCATTGTATACACTGGGCCTACGTTTATAGTCCTTATCCGAGAAGACTTGTTCTACCACCAGAACCACATGCGAGTGTGCCGTTCGAACCAGCGCCGATATTATGGCTATAGCTTTTGGCGCCCCTGCTAACCGCTAGGCCATTCGACTCATGCGTGTTCGAGTTTCGAACACAATTTTGTTCGAGTTCCGAATGCTATTCGATTGTCAATAGAGCACCCCCTACCTCGTGGTAGTTGTACCCATCATGCCTAAACCGGATTTACCCTTTTCCGCCATCTTTAATTGCTACATCATTACATAGTGTCTACGCCCCAGAGGGCAGTAGACACAAAAACCTTATGAAACATTAAACATTATTTTAAATATTAAAGATATATAGTAAAGTATTTTTATAATGATATTTTGTGTTTAGTACATATTTAAGAGAATTTTTTTAACATTTATTGTAAGTGATATGAAGAGGATAGGTATGGATCACAATTATGACTGATTTTAGTGTTGAAGATATTCATATAAGTATGCAATGGATTGTGATTGATGGAAATGAGAGTTTTCTTCAGGGATATTTCTTAACTATGAATCAGGTATATCTTTCTACTGTTATAGAATATCTCTATACTGTAGTAAATGGACACCCTCACAATATCATCTTGCATTGAACATGCAAGAGTAGTACTGAATTTATTTTTAAAGTATCTTCCCAAATGACGCGCACATTTTCCAACAATAATCTAAAAATACAACCTTGCAAAACTTAGCATTTTGTTATTCTGTTATTGTAACAGGACTACATTGATTTATAACAAATTATTAATACTTTCGCCTGAATCCAGGATGGCTGCTTTTTATCAATCAACGATACTTACTCTGTATTGAAAAATACAATTAAAATTATTTTTTACTGTAGCTCTCTGGGTTAAGGGAAGCTTTTACTTTAATCACATCGGTTTACTATCAGTATCAAAATATCTTTCATTTCAAAGCTCTGGCAAAGGTACATGAATTTACTAAGCTACAACACCTAATTGTCATCACTCATGCTTTAGTGGGTCAAGTCAAAACTATCAATTTGACTAGATTCTTGAAAGGTTGATACTGTAAGGCTGATAATCTGGTGGTGTATAAAAACTTCTAGAGGGCAGTACATTTATCCTTGATCAGAGGTATAAATTTGAGTGTATGACATTGAAAAATTAGAAGCTGAATATTATATTCAAGTTTTATATATATTAAATTACTTTCTGTGATAATTGATTTACCATGTTTATTTCAAAATAATATTACATATTGCTCAATTTTGTTTATCAAACATCTGGTTTTCAAAATTTGGGGAAAAATATGCCAACATTTCTCTAGCAATGAAATATTATAGCATTCAGACTTCCAGTCTTAACAAAAAAACAAGATTAAATAAACTATCAACCATGTGGTCCAATGGTTACAATTCCGGTAGATGATATCACATGCATATTTTAGACTAAAAAAAGCAGTATTGATTGATATTTTGTTGTTTATTTAAAACTCATTAGGAATTCCGGATGATGTTCAAAATAAAATGTGCAACATTAAATCAATAATGCCATCGTGAACATATCCAAGAATCAAAACAAAGAGTTTCTGTTGCATCAACTAATTATTTATATTCAAACACCTGTTTGACTCGGAAACAAAAAAAAAAAAAACCAACCATATAGTGAAGAAAATTTAATTGAAATTTGAAGTATAAATTGAGTTGGTTATTGACTAGGAATTTAATGAACATTTCCAGTTTAATAACAGCACTTAAGAGTCAACATAATTACTGTTCAATATCAATTTTCAAAAAAATCACCTGTTTGAATACAGTAAATATCATGTTTGGTTGAAGTTAATATTGAAAATTACGGTACTAAAGTTATAGGCCTACAGCTGTTTTCTAATATTACAAGTATAACTCGTGGAGATAAATTGTAGCTTGATGGTTAAGTTTCTTGCCAACCAATTCCAGGGTCCTAGTTTAAAATCATATGACAGCACAGGAATTTTTCTCACAACTGAAAAAACATCTCCACTTCCTCAGAATGATACTTTGTTTATGACGAAGCTTCTTATTTCGATTTCATTTTATAGTAGAGATGAAATTGAATAGCTTAGTGCTAAGATGATTGTCTTCTAATCCCAGGTCCTAGGTTCAATTCCTGTCAGTGTTGCAGGATTTTTTTCTCACGACCAAAACAACTCCACTCCCTAAACCTCATATTAAGATTTAGTTTGTGCATGGAGGAAATATATTATTTCCTCCATGGTTTGTGTAAAGTATCGTGTGCGTATGTTTGTCTCGTGTAAGGGATTGTCACCTACAGGATGGCGATATATTCACTATAGACAATCATGAGCTATGTGCCTATAATAAATAATAATGATTTAAGAGGGCCCTGAATATCAGCTAAGCTGGAATAGTCACCCTCTGTAAATAGTGAAAATACTTTTATTAATCCTGTGTTCAAATCCTGCAAAACTTTATCAGTTTTTTCTCTGCATGACTGCACATAACTGCACACCATAAGCTTCATATTAATTCTTGGATTAATAAGCATCTCAGAATTTATTAGGTCCTAGTAAGTTAAGCAGTTAGATTAAGAATCAAATCAACAGCCACTGTTAAAATATTATGGTAGTACATAATTTAGTTTTTTTTTTCCTATACCCCAAAGAGAGAAATCAGTTTGATTAGAGGAAGATAGGGATCAAAAGATGTTTTTCTCTGGGGAAATGATATTCATGGGCATGGGACACCCAATGCTGATAACAGATCTATAGGTGGATCTGTCTACTTTTGCCTGATATAAAATTCATATTTTATGTGTCTAATAATACCAAGTAGATTATTTGTTATTTATCATTAAAGTAAATGAATTCTTTTTTTTTTGTTTTGCAGGAAAAGCTTTTGAAGAAACTAGACAAATACGATCTTTCAGAACCTGCCCACTCAAAAGAAGAAGAGGTAAAGTATTAATTGTATAATTACAGTGATAATAGAATGATAATCATCTCATGTCTTTAAGTCAAATGTATTATTAAAGACTTTGAAAGTGAAAGCCATGAAGGAAATGAGGGCTTCAAGGCTCTTTTGTTATTCAGTTTTACAGTAAAACATCGATTTTACGAATAGTCATTTTTTATAAAATGATCTTTTCTTTCGCTGATGTCATCATTGTCCACATAAAAAGTCTGATTTTGTACATTTCTCAAAGCGATAATATATATTATGTTATTTAATTAACATCAAGTTTATTGTATAATTATATTGATCACTGCAATAATTGGATTGGATTAGATTTCTTTGGTGCGAATCACAACAAGGATAACCCACGAAAGTCCTAAGACTTATTTCCAGTGGGGTCCTGGTGATGAATTGGGCAGTACCCCGGGAGACTATCTCCTGCTCTTTTCCGAAGAGTGTACTGCATTCATGTGAGCCATTTTACACACAGGACCAACAGCTTTAATGTCTCATCTGAAAGACGATGCACTTTTGAAACTTGCATTTCAGCCCTCCAGCTGAAACCCAAGGGGGAGCAGCAATGGGAATTGAACCGGGGACCAGGAGATCTCCATGGTTCAGTGCACACAGTGGCTACCACCAGTTAGCTGACTCAGATTGCTGCTCTCTTTCAGTCAGTTATTTCCATTTTTGTAGTCTAACTAGTAGAACAACAAACTGCCAGTCTCGAGTCAATGTTAATGACCAGTTAACTCTCTGTCAATCAATCAGTCATGAACAAATGAAGCGAGCCTGATTATAGTTGGTCCACAGTAACTATTCTCAGTTGTAATGAGGGAGAGAATATTAAAAATCAAAACAAATACAGATATCTTATTTCTTCCTCGCACCAGGGACAGTGCGGAAAGAAGTTGTCTTCCACCAACTTGCGTATACTGTATTTTATGTAGTCTTTTTTTTGTTTTGTTTTATGTTCTTTGATTTTGTCTCATCTTTTCTTGTCTTCTGTTATTGTATTTTTGTGACATGTCTTCTTGTGACACGAATGTTCTTGTGTGTAGATTTTTTTGTTGTTTTTGTGTATTTTGTTGTTTATATGTCTAAGGCCTTACGTTGTTTATTTGTCTTCTTGGTATTGAATCTTGTGTGCGTATTGTTTTGTTTTGTGTCTTACGTTATAATATTTTAATAAATCTGGGCACGACGAATCCAATTCCGCTTCCTGTGAGCGCGAGACACGTGCCGCTGTCTGCTGATTGTCGGTGGCACTCTGAACTGATCATCATTAAAAGTAATCTGTTGCGCGCGTGTCATCGTGTTGAGTTCTTCATAGAATCACAACGGCCGATGGCAGTAAATGCCTGATGTGTTATTGTACATCTTTTTGTGTATTGTGTTAATTTTGTAACTTGTGTTGTTTTTATGTATTGTGTTGTTTTTGTGTCTCATTGATTGATGGTTTGCTGTGTATCTCTTTTTTTGTGTTGTGTTGTTTTGTGTCTTGTGTTGTTTGTGTCACACTGATTGATGGTTTTGCTCTATGTCTGTTGTTTCTGTGTCTAAATATGGATAACCTCTATATCGTAATTGAATTCAAAAGGTTATTTTGTTATTTTTGTACTTTATGAGTGATTTGGTCAGACTAATGTATGTTCAGTATCTATTGTTAGCACAGGTCGAAATAGAGTGTACACTTATACGTTCATTGATGTGCTATTAAACGTGTTTCTCTAACCTTTCTCATAAGTTAACGTTGTGTTATAAATACTGTACGTTCAATACACAGTACATTCTATTTGCCATCAGTGGTGAGATATAGTGTGACTACCATACTTGCTCATAACCAATTAATAATGCAGATTTAATATTTTATTTTTTCTAAAGGCATTGATCATGATGATAATGCAATCACACAAACTCCAAACAGTACTAGAATCCATAGTTGATTCCAATGTTTCTTCCCTTATTGCAACTTCTCCAAAACTTGTCAATGCTGCTAATATTAAAAGGGAAGCATGAAGTTAGCTAACCAATCAAACACAATATGTTAATCAAATTAATATATTTTTAACAACACCATATTAACTATGGTTGTTGACCAGTACAATTTATATCAGAATCAACAAAACTGGAGGTATTGTAATAATTAAGTTAACTGTGTTAATTAATTGTGCCTTAAAGGTTAGCTTGTTAACTGACTGTTATTGCATGGAGTAATGAAAGGTTATTTAAGTTAATTTATGGTAGTCTACATCTTAGAGTATTGCCGTATTCTTAGTAATAATGTTTGTTTTGTGCCTTATGTACCCTTTGTTATAGGTCAGCTAGTTCTGTCTCCAAAGCGACGGGTTAATGGTGTTCGATCACATAAAATAATTTATGTTAGGCAAAATTTCCGGTGACAATTATACAGTACTTGACCAGTTTAGCTTAAATGATATGTATTGTAGTGAGTCATCCCTTTACATTACACTCGGTGCTTCTCATTTGTTTACTGTATCCACAGTTTACAATAAGAGCTAAAGTGAAGTAAGGAGGTGCTGTAATTATACTCTATATATAGCATCAGTCCATAAGATATTTTTTTCTACTTTCTGTTGTTGTAAACCTGGTAAAATCTCTAAAGTTCAACTGAAACATATACAAATGTGGTTTCGTTCGTTTGAGCTGGACAAATTAGAATGAAATAAAGTTCTCAAAGATCACTCCGCTTTGTGGAAGTGAAGGGCGTGAATAGGCAGGGTATATAAGGGCGTTGGTTGTTATCAGCGGTCTCTGCACACTGACAAGCTGCGTAGCGAGTGGTAAAGTGTAAATCAAATGAAAGTAAATACTTGCTTGCTTCTAAATAGACAAGCAGTTTTAAGGTCTGTCGGAGGCCCACCCAAGTTGTACATTGGAGTGATGTGTAGGTTATTGAGAACTGATTTTCTAAAGCGTGAAGGTATTTGATGAAAAGGTCTATACGGTTAAGATACAGATTTTTAATTATTATAGTTCACATAAATAGTTTACCAGTATTTCTGTGCGTAAGTTAATCATTATGTAGATGGAACCATCCAAAGGACAAGGTAATTGCAGCATGTTTTACCTAAAACACAAGAGATGATAAGCAGTATTTCCTAAAACTAAAACTTTACATCCATTGTCTTACAATACAATCAGTTATGCTGGGAGTTAAGGAGGGGATACCATCATAAAGTCCTATATGCTTGCACATACATTCTAATCATGAAATGTAATCAAATGTAATTACCATAATTACAATAACATTATTCAAATTACATTTTTGTACCAATTTCAAATTACATCCAGTTACATTAAAAAATGTAATGAATACAATCGATTACATTACCTAATATGTACAGGGGTAGCAAATTTTAAAAAAAAGACTACAATTTGTACACGTATGGAAAAAGTGTGCCTTAGTGATGTATTGTTTTAAGCAAAGCCTTTCTTTGGTTATTCAGTTGAGTTGATAAATATACATTATTGACTTTTGAGTGTTTCTAAACAATAGGACAGCTGCCAGCAATGGTCCGGTAATTCCTTGATCGATGTCTGTTTTCTAGTCTGTTATTCTTTACGGAGGCCATTATGAGTGAATGGCTGAGCATACTACATTAATGAAACTATTGTCTCCATGATGAAGATTAGAGGAATGGTTCTGTCATTAAGAGGAGGAAGCACATTGCCGATGGTGAATGTCCAGGGAAATAAGCAATAAATAACAATATGAATATTAATACTAACATTAATTTTAAATTGGTCCCTATCAATATGAAGAACACAATGTACTTTAAAAAAAATCATTCTTTGGTTTTATCTACAATAGGCCAAGTAATAAAAAAAAGTAGTTTCTCGTCCTTATATTTTGAAAAAAGGAGAATAAGGGCACTTTTTTTTCTTCTTTTTTTTTACTCCGAGATGGAAAATCCAAGATGGTCGATGGGAAACAGCTACTATATCCTTTCATACTTTTACCATTTAGTATTGAAAGCAAATAAAAGATGCACTAGACATGATTCATACCATATGTATCCCAACCATGAACAATCGAGAGAGGAATTGTACTGATGTGAGTTAGCCAGATTTTCGTACATTTCGTGAAGTTAAGGAAATAAAAAAAAGTAAATAAAAATTTGGTGAGGCAGAGAAAATGGATCCACGAGGTGGTGAGAACCTAGTAATTTTTTTTATTTGGCCTGAATACAAAATAAGTTGTGGCCTTTGTTACACCAGTATTAAAATGAATTCGTAAGTGCGATTGGATGTTATTATGCTGTATGTATGGATTGGATAAGGAAAATAACATGCAATCAGAATTAGGAATTTGTTGATTACTGGCATTTCTATAGCCACACTGCCTACAAAATATCCTCTTTTAAAGATGACAATTAAATGTTAAATTACTTTCTTTACTTTAATATTGAGACTTTCTTAATCTGTTTTAAAACTACTCTGTCATCTTAACATCAATTTCCTCCACAAGCTGGACATTGATGAACAGATCCTCATTTATTACACTTATCCGTGTGTGGTTTTTTTTTAGTTGGCTGTATTAATTCTTGGTCCGAGTTGGTTTGGGCCGAAATTGGTTTGGGCTGATTTAGTTTTAGACTGAAGTGACCTTCTACCGAATTATACTTAGATAGCCTAATAGTCTCATTGCACCACAATAAAGTTGTCAGGTAATACAGGCATAGATACTCAGAAAAAAAAATTATATATGTCAGTATGGGTTCTTATGGAAGAAGAACCTAGAACATGCGATTGATGATTTATCTTTCTAAACCCATGAGGGCCATAATTCTTTTTTATTTATAGTGTTTATAATTTCAAATAAATTGAACCTGTACATCAAAGTGGAACAGGCAATGTTTTATCATTTTTCATCTAGTTGCTATAAGCTTTAGTCATTATCTTGTAGAAATGGGTTTTCCAAGAATATTGGAGTTTTAAGTCGTCGAATTTAAACTATATATTTTATTATAAGTCAATCATGACGTCATCACTGCAACTCCCAATGTTATTTGCCTATCCCCCACAGTCCAATAATTTTTCACATAGTGGATGCTTAGCTTGATTTTTTTTAAAGTTTGTATGTAGTTTGTGTTCAGTTTTTTGTCACAGAGAAGATATCATGCATTGCGATGAAAATTGAATTGTAATTGAAAATTACTTTCGTAAAACAAGGGCAATTAGAACCTGAAGGAAGTTACTTCAAATTCAATATTAAGTATGAACAGATAAGGAATTCCTTGAATCAATGAACCCAAATAAACTAAACAAACTGAACGTCTAATAGGAATATTTTAAACCTATTTTAAAGACTCAATAGACGAAATTAGATGTAGGCCTTTGGTCAGGTATCTTCGCTGGCGTCCTCCCTAGGTCTTGTAGCCCAGCCTAGTTATGAATGATGATTTTACCAGCTGTCTACACCGACCAAAAAATGACTACTGTATTCCCTCTCAAATGCTTTATAAGAAATGTTTATTTCTTTGACGAATGTCTATCAAAATAGCATTTACAAACAAGTTCTTCTAACACAATACAGTAGTTTTCATCATATCCGTACACTGTACTGCTGCGTAACATTGCTAACACTGTGATTGAGGTAACGTGTACTGCAGGAGCACAAATAAGCGTACGCACAGGTAAATGTAAATACGCACACAGTATACTGATCATATCACTGTAGCAAACGATTACTGCTACAACAGTTGGTTATCAAAGCTAACATTAAAAGATGGCGATTGATTTGATAAAGCAATTAGTAGAGCATGCATTGTACACTAGCGGAATATTATTATACTTAGGTTAGATTTAATACATTCAACAAATTTTTTCAAGCATTAAATCTAACCTTCATATAATAATTTTCCTATAGTGTACTACTACTGTATGCACAGCTCTATTAATTGCTTAATATACATAACTTTTATGTTTGATAGTGTTCTTTATGAATATGTATATCTTGAGTAATAAGCAGTGGCACAACATCAACATGCTGCATTTAGAAAAGCAGAGCTCTAGGCTCCCAGTCTGAGAGGAGCACAGCCCCAGACACCCAATCTGAGAGGAGAGGAGCCTGGGCTCCCGGTCTGAAGTTGCTACTGCTACTATTACCGGCAATCAACAAAGCCTTCTCCAATCACAAAATTGTCATTTACATTCTTTTATGCAGTCCTAATTAGGCTGAGTGGAATTTCCCCCGCAAATTAACCCACCCTATTATTTACTTTGTGGGCAAGAAACCATATTATTCACTTAATTGCTTTCTTTTACTTTCTATTCGTTTTTGAGATCATTGCAGTATGGTTGTACCATGGAGAAATTAGTTTAATTCCTCCATGGTTGTACTGAACTGTCATCTGTACTATTTAATTTGCTACTTCATGGCAGCTATTTACGTTTAATGATTATTAAAGTAGCACATCTAAATTATACTTTTTCATTATTGTAAATTTGAATACAGAATCAAGATGTATAAAGTGTAATCTATAAAGTGCACTAATTTAAATCACAATCTTAATTGAAATATTATTGTTTGAAGGTTTGCATGGAGAAGTAATAATGTGTAGCTACCTTTTACCAGTTATTATTATTAATTTAATATAGAAATAATTAATATTTTGCTAATTTATCTGTGCCTTAATTTTTTTATTAACTAATAAAATGTCTGTGCAAATAATACAGTTTAGGAATGTTATTATTTATGTCTCTGTTATTTGACACGTAAAATATTTCCTTGTTCCAATTTTACTTTGAAAGCTGATATGCTTATACTTACAAAGTAAGCTATTGAAATATTAAATTTCATTGTATATATTAATTCAACATGCATACATGAATCTGTGAATGGATGTATTAAAACAATTTGTAATCACACCTAATTTTACACTCTTTTTTTTTTAATTTCCCAGTGCGTGGTCTGCCTGAACACCAAGGCATGTATCCATACGTTTCCATGCGGTCACAAAATAATCTGTCGCAAGTGTTTTGTGAAGACAATCCAAATCGCTGTTTCACAGCGCGTTTTGCCTTTGCGTTGTGTAATGTGCCGGACTCGAATTGATCGACTGAAGCATCCTGTTCATAACACCATATTGTAAAAAGCGGTCTTCATGCCCACGTCAGTCTGCACGATCACTGCTATTGCAAGTCCATACCGCTCCTAAGAATGTCAAGACTGAGATCTAGCAATACCTTATTAAATTGTTTGACTGTCAAAACCGAACCATGAGGCATTGTTTGACAGAAAGATCTGGAAAGAATGCTTCGCTTTTATATCTGAAAGTGATTGTTGCTTCATCCGATCAGACGTGTGTCTACAAATATGTGTTTCCGTAATGAAAAAGTGTCATTTACATCGAATCAATCATGTTATCAATGAATGAATAATGTTGTCTTCTTGCTTTACAACATAATGATAGTACTGATGTAGTGTATTCCAATATTTTGTAGGAATAGTATTAGCAGTACATAGCACAGTACATTATATGATTGAAAAATGTAATATCAAAAATGGTTTCTTTATTTAAATATTTGAGAAAGATAGAGTGAAGCTTTATGTAATTCATGTTCTGATGAACAAACAAAAAAATGTTCAATCATAAATATATAAATTGTTTATAGAAAAAAAATTATGAGTCAACATGTAGGCCTTATTGAATAATAGTAAAGACTATTGCACAATAATAAATATATATTATATATCTGATTTATGTAGCACTCTAAGGCCTCTCCATGCTTGACTTTATTACTTACTTCAGTCATTGCATTATACACCTATGGAACACATTGCACCCTGCTTCTTTGGTGTACAGTAGTATTTCATAATGTTGCACTTTACCCAGTCAGTGGTACTGAAAAGTTTTAAATGCCAGTGAACTGACATTTACACCCCACAGGTACCCACAATTTCTGGGTGAATAGATACAATTTAAGATGAATTGTCTTGACAAAGAACACAAAATAAATTGTTATATTTGAACCCTTAATCTTTTGATTGGAAGGATACTGGGCTGCATAATATCTATCAGCGATTGGTATTTATTATATGTACATACATAACATGTAATATAAATACTCTATGAACTTTACTGTATTATTATATAATACAGTACATACTTATCCTACATGTTGTGTAGTATAAAGATATATAAGAATAAGATATTTTCAGAAATTTTCCTAGTAATTAATATAAATTATCTTTTTCATGTTTGTAAAGCTTATTAAGTTGTTATTTTTTTCAATCGATAAGTAATGACCAAACCATATGTTTGTGCAATATATCTCAACTGTAGTGTGACTCAATTAAGTGAAAATGAAATAGCCATGATCATGCGTTGCACCTATGGGTAGTTTGCATTTATCATTATTGCTATTAACTGTACTATTTGTTTGAGTAAACACATCCAATGCTAGACCCAGAAAGAATGGGGTTGGCCAAAGCATCAAGTCTTCTGTTTTGATTGCCAAATTGCAAATTTCATTTAAAAAAATTGTTATTGAACTTTGACCCCACACTGTCAGACCTTTCCCTGTGTCCCCCCCACCCCAATTAGACATTCTAGATTCATCCCACAATTATTAAGAATTACTTTTGTTATGTATGCTTTGAGTTTATTGCATACATAATTTGCTTAGATATGTATTATTTGCCAATAGTTTTACTCTTATTTAAAAAAAAAAAACCACAATTTTTTGCCACTTTTTTAACAGTAGTATAAGTTAAATATTTTGCGACGTTTTTTATAGGAAATATTTCATGTTTAATTTACTATAACCATGGGGGTATTATAGTATACAAATATTAACTGCTTATGAGGGGAATGGTGAAATCTATTGTCCCGAGGTGATGTGGAGATCGTAGCCTATCTTATAGGTTACGGTCTCCACATCACTGAGGGGCAGTAGATTTCACTGTTCCCCAAATATAGAGCAGTCAATATTTGTTTTATATACCTCATACATAGATTCTACGAGGCCTAAAAAAGTACTTACTTCCTAGCCTGTTATATTAGAGGCATACTAGGCCTACTACTCGACTAGCTAGGCCTATAGGCCTAGGCGATCAAAGAGTGTGTCTAGCTCTTCTTTGCTTATTTCCTAAATTTCAACAGTACCCATTGTCTTGCAATATATTTGTCAAATATTGATAAGACATATTTAATTTGTCTTTTGGTGCTTTTGCTATCGGCTTCATCAAGAAGTAATGCTAGGCCTAGGCTAGTACAGTACTCCTTCATTTCGAAAGGAGCAGCCTCCATTATTTGTTTATCGTCTACTCGCTGATCCGCGAGTTCATGACGCGGTCAGAGAATAATCTCGTCGTAGAGGTTGCAGTCCCCTTTACCAGCGCAACGTGATGTAGTGAGCCTAGAGTTTGCACATCGCAACAGGTCAAAAAAAGTATTATTTTTGACGGGAGTAGTACTTTTTGAGGGGAATAGTACTTTCTATTGCCCCGCTTCTTAACCAATCAGATGCCTAGAATCTATGTATGAGGTATATAATATGCTATCTCTCCTTAAGTGCCATTCTACTAGAAAGACGCTTTTAATTTTTTATTAAATCCCAGCCTTCTAATAATGAAGAACGCATTCTCCCTTCAAATTTTCAAAGTGCAAGTGTAACCAACATATAGTTATCTAACTATTTATAGCATTTGACAATCTATGTCATTATCCAATTAATGTTACTCAAATTAAATAAATTGAAATTCTATTAGATGCCAATCATCTCAATATTAGCCTAGTATTATGGCCATGATTGAACTTCAATAGAAGAAGACAGTAGATTGGCTGCTCAGAAATCAAATTTTAAAATCAATAAAATAGCCTTAAAAAAATTATGTCAAGTTTTAAGACAACAATATGATCATTATTATTAATGATAGTTTGTGACAATAAAGAAAATATATATGTAACCTTAAGCTATTTGAACCAACCCCCAGGGACCAGTACTATTAACTACCCACATTAAATCGCAATTTGAATCCACCAACAACTAATTTAAATGTATAAAATCTGTTTTGATGGATGATTTCCCTATCCAAAAAATATTGATCTATATATTTATTCAGCTACAATTCTGAAATTTGAGACATCAGGATGAAATGCTTATGTAAATATAGTACTGTACCCTCAAATTTAATAAAAAATATTCAGCTGTTATCAAATATTACTCAAATGCCTTTGACTCTATTCTTTATTGAGCTTAAATTTACCCATAGAGATATAATAGTGATATTATTGCCATGCTTTACCACACTATTCCAAGAAATAGGTTGGTATGAAGGTACAAATCACCTTTTTTTTAAATACAATATTTAACTGGGATGATTTATCTAACAAAAGTGATCATTTGGTTTGACTTTAATCAGAATCTCTCGTGAGACTCCAGGCTAAAAATCGACAGCAGCTTTAAGGCTGACAAATTGATCACTAAGTTCAATATTATAACATATTTTCATGACGGTTATGAAAAGGCTAAGAATGGGGCTAAGAATTTTAATCAGGGATACATTCAACTCCATATCCCCTCCAGTTGTTATGATATCCCTTAGTAGGCCTACTGTATATGTGTAAGTTCAGTAGGTGATATAACATAGATAATAACACACATTCCATGTCATTACACCAGAGGGCTATTGCTTCAGCTACTGTATGCCTAAGATATTGAATTAGAGGTTGTAGAACTGTAGTGCCTTACCTGTCAAGGTCCAGGCATCAGGTATTATAAAGCTGAGCCTAACATACTAGAACCTTCATTCTTATCCGAAATGTAATATGGTTGTTGATTTATTAGTAGTTATAATATTGACAAACTCTAATGTTACGGAATATAAATATAATAATTATTATTGCTATTAAAATTATTTAATAGATTAATAATTGTATTATTACTATATTATTGTATTGCTATTAAATATTTTGTTATTGTCATTAATATAATAAAAAATATTTTGGATTTTTTTTATTATATTATCAATACAGTATTACATTCTCATTTTCAATATTGATAATATTAATAATAATAATAATAAATAATAATAATGAATAATAATGTTATTATGTAATTATTTTTATTATTTTATTGGTCATATTGAGATGTGTTCTGCATTATATTGATATTATTAAGTCCTGTGTAGATTATCAAATCCTATTTGACAAAAAATTGTGGTATGCCCATATAAAGTCATGATATGCCTATACAGTATGGTCATGATGTGATGTGATGTCACCATGACCATATTTATGCACGTCACATGTTTTTGTCAAATAAAATTCAATAGTCACCAAACCAAAACTTTTATATAATAGGTACAACATCAAAACAAACTGCTAGGTGGCAGTTTTTCAGCACAATAATAAGCCTCTGCTTAAGTAAATTTTGAAAGTTTTAAAACTCCTCATAACTTATTTATTTGTACATTTTATCGTAAAATAACTAAGAAAAAGCCATGGTAAATGTTTCTTTAATAAACATCAGACTTTTGACCCGTTAGATTTGAAATGTATTGAAATAAACAGATGGAAAACTTGAACGTGTTTGCATAGCCTCATCGGGTGAACACGGGTCTAGCATTAAGAGAGTCTTACAATGTTCTTCTGACTCATTGGCCATCATAGTCAAAAGAAACATCTTATTCTACAGTTCAGCAATTTAAGTTTGTCCAATAGTTTAAATATTTCATACAGAAATTGCAACAAAATGAATTGGTTACACTGTTTAAGCTGAATGTGTACCTCTAAATCAACGATCGCCTTAGTCAGCGCTGGATGTGATGAGTCCAGCGAGCGATTGGTCTAGGACCCCTAGAAGGCCTCTCAAAAACTCTTCATATTTTTATTTAAATAAAATCAACCTTATTCTCATGAATCTATGAATCATTCAAAATGTATACGTTGTTATAAAAAGTATCTTCTATACTAACTTCATTACATTTAAACGATTTAATATACACCACTTTCGATTCTGCTCAATGCATTAGCATAGCTCTTCGGCCAATGTTTACAAATTCATACCCACTTGGCGAAATCGCGATGACATCATCTTGGGTGACTAATTTGGTCTATAATAATTATTAAGACCCAGTAAATGTCAGAATTATTTAGATTTTCTGTTCACATTTAAAAAAAATTAACAGTCAGTCAAATTTGATTGATACTTTAATCATTGTTGATTAACATAAATAATTTTTTCAGTTTTATTGCTTAATTTTCTTTTTGGTAAGAAATTTATTGCAAGATCGCAATAGATTGTTTATGATAATTTCAATTTTTTTTTATAACTTATATTAGACCATCCTCTAAAAAGTTGTCCAACAGGGGTCTTAGTATTTCTAATGGAGGACATGCCATGGTTAGGATCTTCACTGTAGTAGAAATACCATTTTGGGATCTAGGGGTACCCAGAGAAATTTTGGACGTTAAGATGTCCTGAGACGTTTTCAACTTGGTATTATATTAAATTTTTTTTTTTTTTTTTTTTTTTGGTCTGAGTCAAAGGCAAGGGGGTTGGCTTTTTTGATAGAGGGAGAATCGACCGGCCCCACAGGCATCGACACTGAGTAGCATATCCTTAAATGTGGTTGAGTAAAATAATGTGCTAAGGCTGGGTATTAACTGCTACTGTTTTTTTATGCCATTTGGACAAGGGGAAGGGATGGAGAAAGGGGCCTAGCACCTAATTCTCTATGGTACTTGGAATTATCTGAATTTAATGTGTGGTTGTATCAATAGATGAATTTGAGTGAAAGAATTAAGGATGGTATTAATAGCAATAAATAATACATGATCGTAATTATTCACATTTTGGTTATTGATGACATTAAAATCAATAACAAGTGCCATAGTTATTTATTGTTAGATTAAGATGTGTTATAGCATTAGGCCATAGAAATGTCAACTGCCGTAAAAGAAATTAGTAGAAGGAAAATATACTGTCATTAGGTTTACATTAGATTTAACTCTAAACATAATACTGTAGGTCAAATTAAGTTTAACAATAAACAAAATATCCCTAGCTAATAGTGTTCACTTGATATCTATTGACTAAGAATGTAGCATCCTCAGCATGGAAGGGGAAGTGTGTTTTTTTTTTTTAAACTCAAAGTTAAACCTGATTCACATGACACAAAATATACTAAATGTTAACAGGGATATCTGTTTCAATATTTCACTACGAAGATTTGTCCCTTTCTCATAAATACAAACCTTACTGAAAGTCAGTGCAATTGATACAAGTCAGTGAAAATACTGTATGTGCGATGCCAAAGTAAAAGATAAGCAGCATTCTATTACTTGCATGGTCCTTTCTTGAAATGTCAAGGCAAAGCTGAATGATAGTTAAAAATTGTAGTACAGTTAAATTTAGTACTCATTTTAGCATTTTCTGCTCTGAAATTCATATGAAGTAATTCGCTTTGTGATACTTGAGTTAGCTAGAATTACAGTTTGTGACTCTCACAGTGAGTGGCAGTCATTGGTCGATCACGCAATCCTTGAATTGGCCTTAGATATTATAGCCTACAGTTTCTCGCTTTCAAAAGAAAACCTCAAGAATTGGTGCCAGTATCTGTTGGAACATTATAGTAATCTATTCTGATAATGTATGGAAATTGAACTTTAGAATATTTCCAAGCGATTTAGTCGAGTATTTAACTGTCATTCCAACCAACATTATTCAATATCTACCTGATGTGCCTTGCTGCAGAAACACTCAGTAAAAGCCATGTTTTTTATATGCTGTCGCTCGCTTTGTTCACAAAGAGCACTAAATTGTATGACTCTGATCACGAGTAGTACATTGTATTGGATGAGATTCAGCAAATGTCAAATTTTGTTGTTTTAATAATAAACCAGAATGAATAAAAAATATAAAAAAAAGAAGACCCCCCATTAAAAATATAACAGCTTCATGTGTGAGAAATGTATATTTGGCAAATATAGTATGCAAGCTTATATCTGCCCCATGAATACACAGTATGGGATTTGGAATTTACTGTTTTAGAAATGTGCTTGATAAATTAGTGATGTACAGTATAAGAGAATCACCATTCATGAAAAATACACTCTCCAGCACGTATGAGTGCAAATGGCCCCATGCACACGAGAGATATTTCAAGTACAAGAAATTCACCTCGAGGCCCATGCGTGAGAATTACAGTATTTCATTGACGTATATCAATGATGAGCATATACTTTTGCATATTAATGGTTCCTTCCACAATAGACTCCTGGCTAATGTACATAATGTTGTAATTGTCATGTCATTTAAGAATTATTTTCTCTTTCTGCCAGTTCACCTCGACTACTGCATGAAAATGAGATAATAATGTAGTCAAAAATTGTACTTACTGTAGAAATACAGACATTGAGTGTTAGACAGCCAAAAATATCAACAGTAGTATACTATACCTTGGTTTGAAAGTGTGTTGTGGGAGGGGGGGGGGGTTGGAGAGGGGATGTGTCTTAAACCTATTATATTACAATGTGTGTAATAGAATTCAAGAGAAAGCTGAACAAATATTGCTTATCAAAATATGTTTTAGAATCATTTTAGAAATCATGTTCACAATAAAAATGGTATTTTGTAAGTGTATGGGCAACAGAAATGAAATGATGATCAGATTAAGAAATTGTAACCGTTTTCTCTTTCGTTTTGCACAAGACACAAATCTGCAGGAACCAGGGTAAGGGTTAACCGCCGAGTTAACTTATACTTTCGAAAAACGTATTATTTACATGATTTTGCCACATACAGTTAGGGCACCAGACTCGAATTACTATGCCCCTAGTTTTTATAGTAAAACACTGCCTTGAAGCACTGATTACTACAGTGGTAAACTTAGATGAGTGCACTTTACTTTTTACAATTCCATTGGTGTTTGTTCATTGCTCTTCCAAGTCAAATACTTACAATGCCCTGTAGTTGTGTTCTTGTAGTGAATTTTTGGAAAATAAAATCTGTTTGACTTGATCAGACTTAGGTGGGTTTTTTTTATGCATGAAAGGTGTTTGTTAACTATTATTATTTTTCAAAAATGTTGAGCAGAATTTGTTGTATAGATGACAAATTTCTTTTGTAAAAGTTATTATAATTAGTACAGTATTTTTATTATAAGGAATGAAGTACTTCAAAATTATCATCTATACCATAATTATGTCAAAGCTAATTAA